ACATTAGCTCTTCTGGAGCCTTCACATATTCTTGTACTAAATTTTGGCCATGAGGCACCTTCTGATTCGGTAAACTATTGTAAGCGCATATACATAGTGATAAGAATATTTACATACTATGAATATCACCAATATATTGTTTAGTTACTTCAAGTAACAAAACACAATCTCTTCCGGAGCTTTTCCTTACTTTCATACTATATGATATAATACCAGTATTGACTTTTGCAAATATTCATTATATACAAAAATATACAAAATAATAATAACAACAACAACAACATATATGTGTTTCATAATACATTTCGGCATACGAAGGTTACAGTATATGATCATGACTTTTGCTACATAAATTATCATCCTCATTTATAATTATTTTATCTTTCACTTCTGGTGAAAAGATATATTTGCTGATTGTCATTATCCAAACACCAAATTATATTAATATAATGGTGTGTCTCGATCCATTCACTTTTAAGAATGGTTTGTTTTCATTCGCTTCCAGGAATGAAACAACAGCCTTTGGATCAAATTATATAATATTTCTCATCATCACAAGTCTAATACATTTTTCACCTTTAACTAACAAGAAATTAACTTACACTTTGTAAAACCTCTAAGATAATATTGCTACTGCAGGAGCACATATAGATTTTCATTTTTCTTTCAAATGATTCTTGGACCAATAAAAATTCTTTTCATACATCGGGTACAAGATCAATGATTTTTCCCCATCGCAATGGTAACTCATATTCCAATATTTTAGTTACCAGATCCACTTCTTTCATTTGACACATTTTTTCTTCATTTTTTCCACTTCGGGTGAAAATGAGATCTTTAGACTTTCATTTCTCTATATGTCGAATGTAGCAATCGATAAGTCAACCCATAATGATTTTGCTACTACAGGAGCAATTTTCATTATTTGATAATGTCCAAGCACAAACTCCATGTTACGAGATCGACATATATAAAATAATATAAACAAATAGCATGATCAAATAATCCCTCAAAGACAATGAGATAGATAAACATACTAACAAGAAATGACTTGAAAATTTGCATACCTTGATCGTGTTGTGATCTTACTCAAGTATATGTGATTATGTAGAGAGACAATGACTAACCATTACTTTGGCAGAGCTCGTGCTGATAACGTGTTGTAAAATAGCAAGGAAGAGCAATAGACATAAGAGTAAGAGTAGAGACACAAGAAGAGTGGGGGAATAGAGCTTTCTTATTCATATCTTCCTTAGTACAAGGAGATCATATATTTATAGGCATACATCACATAACCCCTACATTCTTACAATCAATATACATGAATGTGAGAATGAATGTGAAATAGAAATGGGGTGGGGGGTTACATGTAACACCCAATTGTGCATCTAATGTGTCATATGAAGAAATAAATATAAGGAGATGAGTTACATAGAACTTGTAACATACCATGGAGCATCTAATGTTGGTCATCCATAATGATAATAATATTTTCATAACATCCACAACTTAATTGGAATGGAAGTTCTATGGTCTACCAGCGGCCACCGACGAATACATTTATCCTTATTCCCATCAGTGTAGTAAACGATTTTGTTAATCAATTGGATCTCCTCAATTAATGGAATCAATTGCCTTAGAATCATATATTCAATACATCCCTTTCTTTTGTCCTCTTCTGATTAGAGTTAGTTCCAAGAAAGAAATCGGTAATTTGAAATGATGTAATTATATTCTATAAACTGTCTCTCAAGTCTCTCCAACCCCACATGGTTTGATGCCCTATTAGCCGGCTACCCAACTGCCCTTAAGTTAAAAGGCCAACCCCCAAAAATTAAGGGTCCTCTCCTCTTAACGCCAACCCTATACCTAACTATAACCGACTCCCTCCCTCCCTCTCCATTGCTTAATCATTTTATAATTTAACCCCAGAAAGTTGCATGTGTGGGTTGGGACTAAAGACAAAAGAGCTTATGCTTGGTTTCCAATTTATTATTATTAGGTAATCAAAGGACCAAAAGTTGATAAACATTCATTCTAATATCCCATCCTTCAGTTTACAAACTGAATTAATAACCCAAATTTCCCGCCTTTCACGTAATTACATATTAAATTATGGTCTTGTTTTGTATAATAATCAAGGTTCAATAAGAATTAATATGTTAGGTCCAGCCTAGCACCTAGCTCGGCTAGACATTGGAAACAAAAATGAAGTTTTAATAAAAGTAACAATTTTACAACAATTATGCACTTAGATTCATATGAATAAGTTAGTTAACATTGAACGATTACAATATCTCACAACTTGCTAGAATAACAAGTTCATACAAAATAGAATAACAAGTTCTTAGAAACACTTAATAACAAGCACTTACCAATAAGTTCGTCCATAATTTATCATCCAAATAAGTCCGTATGCCTACTATTTCATCTTCACTATCCTCAAAAGCAATCTCCATCGATCATCTTCCTCCTATTCTCAAATTCTTTATCATGAAGCTCTCTCACTCTTGTCCTCCTGCGAAATTCAAATTGTTCACTAAGTTCTCATTACATTTACAATAGCTCTATGATACAACTAAGAACAGGCGTCGATAAAGCTAGTAGGAGTTCGATCAATCGTTATCAATGCCAGAACCCTCGAAATTAAAAATAATGAAAAAGTATAAAGACTTCTCAATCTCGATATCCTCCATCCTCATTCAAATAGGTTTCAAGTATATGTCTTATTGTTGTTTCTAACCTAGCTTATTCGTCATATAATCGAGAAATGTGGTGTTGGGTTAGGACTAAAGACAAAACACTTTTGTTTGGTTTCCAATTAACTAGTCAAAGCACCAAAAAGTTGATAAACATTCATTCTAATATTCCATCCTTCGGTTTACAAAAATGAATTAAGAACCCAATTTTCCCGCCTTTTCACGCAATTAATAAATTATACACTCTTGCTTTGTAGACTAACTATGGTCAATGGAAAAAAGGGGGAGCTAAGTAAGCTTATTATATGGTGGACTCAACAAACAAGGGCCACCTAGCAACTATGTGTTAGTATTTTTAGAGGGGAATTAGATGCCCCTAAAGAGCCTACAAAATTGCGGGTTTCCTTTCAGCTGAATGCCACTAAGTACAAAAGCGAATAGGCAAGGCTGTCATAGAATACGCACGTATTGTGATTAAGGATATCATAAAATAGATTACGCCTCAATTGATGTTTTGTGTGGTTGGGCGAGTCTCAACGATGAATTTTAATTCTTGCTCATTGAGTTTGAAGTTGTGAAATACATTAATGTATTGCATGTGAATCTAGCTTTGAATGGACCATTAATACTATCGAGATGCACTAGAACTTTTTTTATATCTTTGTATCATGTCATAAAGAAGTTCGTCAAATATAAAACTCAAAACTATTAAAGAGGGCCAAGAATGAAATATAAATCAATAATTTGTTAAAAATAGAGTTAATCAACAAATGCATTCATGTATGCATCTATCAGCAAACAACTTATTTATGCTAATAACTCGAAATGTTATGATAATCTTTCAAACAAAGCATCCTTTTACGTATTAATTTATACGAAGTTCGAACCATCATATCTTAATTGATAACTTCATAAACTAGTTCGAACCCAAGACCAATCCATGAAGAAAAAGACCCACAATAGCACTTTTAACGAATCAAACTATTCTCGCAACCCGAGTTGTTATAACTACTTATCTACATTCTTATTATTATACTACTAGTAAGGAGAAAAGAGAATCCACTAACCGAAATCTCTCGCATGCAATGTAGAAAAGGGAAAGTTAGGATCGGGGAATATCAATTTTAACTACTAAAGATTCATAAAAGTAGAGATGATAGAGTAGGCAAATTTTCAAGCCTACCCATCAATCAAAATGCCAGCCTTTTTTTAAAATGAGTTGCTTGCTGGATTTTGCCCTTTTGCTCGATTTGAGGCATCAAAGAAAAAGACCCTCCCATTGCCAAAGGACACCATATTTTCGAAACCAAACCAACCGACCACATGATCGCCATAACAGAAACATGCAAACTAGTATATCTTTGTGGCCATAACTAATGATCACATATATATATATGAACATTATATGCACATAGTTCCTCTAATTATCGACTTTGGTTCATAAACACTTATTGAGGAGACTATTATAGGAGATGTGTTGTACATAAATCCAAAAATATTTGGCTTGGCCCGTTAATCAAGTAAAGCGTGTTAGCATTAAAAAAGGAACTAATTTAAGCTAGCTAATCAGTTAGTAGAGTTAGAGTAGTACTAACCTCCACCATCTTCCCATGTGCATTTCCTCTCCCATCAAATGTGCACAAGACACTATAGTCCCATGCTTCCTCCCATGTGTCCCTATCTCATTTGTTCCCTCCCCTCTCTCTCCTCTTCTTCACCCTCACACTAGAGTTGAGGACAATTGGATGTCGCTCGATCGATCTCTAAAACGTCACCGTCTTTCTTGATGATGATAGACACATGTGGTCACGATATCGTCCAATGATATGATTATGATCAGTCTATTCTTTCTCTATGACCCAATTGACTCGTGGTCGAACCGATAATTAACCATGCATTACTTGTATATAGGTTAGTTTAGAATTAGATAAGATTGTTGCGGCTCAAAATGATCAGACTCGTCTCGTGCTTTGATCATTTGTTTGATTAATTAGCTTCTGATAGGATAAATCAAAAGTGAATTCGATTCTTATAACCTATCATACGAAGAGAATTCTTTAATGATCACTAACACGTTGTGTGTGAGTATATGCTAGCTTTTCTATCATGTATGTATGTATAAAGAACATGATAGAATAAGCTAAATTTATGCGTTACTCATCATAAAAAGAAAATAGAAAAATAGAAAGCAACCATCTGAACTCAAACAATTTTATCTCCACGCCGAATGGACGGCTTGCAAATGAAAAGTGTGTGTTAAACTTTTCTTTATATATATAACCAACCTTCCCTCCAACACTTTCCCCTACCCTTCCTCTTCCTCTGCCTCCTCAATCCACAACTTACAGAGAGACAGAGAGAAAGAAGAGAAGCCTAATCTGAGAAAAAGAGAGAGAGATGGGGAAAATTTCAATGAAGATGCTGAAGATGAAGTCCAAGAAGTTCTGCAAAGGGATCAGCTTCAAGCTAATTGGCGGGAGCAAGAGAAACAACATTATTGATGACCAAAAGAGCCCATCATCGTCATCACTATCATCTTCTTCCTCCACTTCTTCTTCATTTTCATCTTCATCATCATCATCATCAAGCTCTTACATTGGTGAGATCAAGTGGGAGGTTAGGCCTGGAGGGATGCTGGTCCAAAAGAGGCAAAATGGTGATGACCATAGCACCATTGGGGAGCTAATCACACTCAGAGTCTCGACAGTCTCTCAATGGCATGACATCTCCATTGAAGCCACTTCTACCTTTGGTAAGTAGTGCTTGCTCAAGCATCCTTTGTTATAGAGACTATAGTCATCTCCGGATCACTGGTTTGTAACTATTTTGTTCTTTCAGACATCTGATGTTGTCGTGTCTCTGATCGATTCGGTGAATTTGTTGTTTTTTCAGGGGAATTGAAGATGGTGTTGGCAATGGTGACAAACTTGGAGCCAAAGGAGCAGAGGGTATTGTTCAAAGGGAAAGAGAGGGAGGATTGTGAGTTCCTCCACATGGTTGGGGTTAGAGACAAAGACAAAGTGTTGCTTTTGGAAGATCCAGCCATCAAGGAGATGAAGCTCATGAGGCGCCTCCATGGCTTGTCTTCTTCTTCTTCTTCACCATTACCATCTTGTACTCGTACCATTAGTGTATAATTAATTAACTGATCAAGAAAAGTGAAAACACAAACATGGATTAATTACCACTACTAAGTACCTACTAACCAACCACTCCCCAATGAGAACCCATAAACATTTTGAAGATGGGTTTATTTCTTCTTTTTCAATATTTCTCTCCCTTTCTCTTTTTACTAGATTAATTCGTATTATCATCGTGTAGTACGATCGATCATCTATGAAAAAGGATTAGTCTTTACTCTTGGCGATGCATATTTTGATAATAAACCAAAAAGTTTGATCTAATTATGTGTACTTAGTTAACTAGTTTATTATGTCTATGTAATTGGGTTTTGCCAGCTTGACAAAGTTATTATTATGAGTAAAGCTGATGCTGATCCAAGTCATGTAGTTTGGATCTTTCTCTACACTTACCAAAAAATTTATATGAGTTATATATATGAGGGTTTTACTTTACATTATACTAAAATATTATACTAAAATATGGTTTGATTCTGGCTGTCTGCCTCAACATCATTATCATCATCCTATATATAAAATGTGTTTGGTTAGTAAGAAAATTGATCAATTGTTTTAATTTCAAAGGCTGTAGTAATCCCACGGGTACACATCGACATAATTAACTATGATAGTGACTTGGAAAGGATAATTGGGTCACATAAGAGCTGGCTTCTTGGACTAAACTTTTTGGCAATAATAATGATATATACATATTTTTGCACAATCTCTTTTGAGTATTATTATTAGGAGACTATTGCACCTAGGTAAATAACAAACGAGTTGAATACAGAGGTTAAACGAGCATCCCACACCCAAAAGGTACCCCGTATAGGTTTTCTCGAACCCCTCAGTAACTAAAGTAAACAACGTAAAAAAAGCACACATTTCAATACCGATTCCGGAAGAGCGAAGAAAAAAGAGATATTTTGTTAGTAGAAAAAAGAGAGTGTTTATAGCCGTCGGCAAAGATTAGGGGACTCATTTTCAGTGCTTTACTTGAACGCAGTTGGGGGCAATTTGGTTCAACAACCCAACCATCCCACGAGCCACGCTTAAATATGTGTGACAATTGTACCTATAATTACCATGTTCTCATATATGTCATAAATTTAATTTTTATATAATTTTCATTGTTATCTTCCACAAAAACCTTGAAGGAGTACCATTCTGAAAAATTCAACATCCATCTCTCATGAAAATGAAGAGAACATAAATTTATAAATTCAACATAAAAACGATACTAAAATGAAAATATTCCAAACACGTAACGCTACCATATTCTCAACACTTAATATTTTGCTTCTTCTTTGTAGATTCACTCGAGATTCTGAGTATAGCTAAGAGGTCCCAATGTTTCCAAGTAAACATATCCCTGCTGGCATAAAAGATGAACCCTTAACAAATTAAAAGAAGAAAAGCAACACACATGACATCACATAAACCTCACAAAACACTTAACCATCCATCATGTAACCAAAAAAAAAAAAAAAAACACAAAAGCGCAACCAAACCTTAAACGTATTACAAAAGCATTAACACACAAACACCTACATTCCCTCCCATATATGATTCACTTCCCCTGAATCTCAATGACTCTCCTCTCGACCTTCTTGACTTCCCCCTTAGGCACCACCACCTTCAGCACCCCATCTTCCACGGAAGCCTTGATCGCCTCGCCGCCGTCGGTCCTCACATTTTCCGGCAGCCGGAACCTTCTCAGAAACTTCCCCCGGCACCTCTCGACCCGATGCCACTTCGCTCCGTCCTTATTCTCCCCCTCATCATCATCGTGGGGCCTCTCCCCGCTGAGTTGAAGCACTCTACCGTCGTCCACCAGCTCCACCTTCACCTCTTCCTTCTTCAGCCCGGGGACGTCGGAGGTGAAGATGTGGGCTTCATGGGTTTCCTTCCAGTCCGTCGGAGTGTTGAGCACCGGGCATCTGTTGATCATCGAGAGGAATGGGTCCAGCATTTCTTGGTCGCCAAAGAGTTGGGTGATTAGTGACATAATTGTGTTTTGAGGGTGGTTTTTTTAGAAAGATGGATGTACATATGTGGCCTAATAGTAGAGCTTAATTAGGATTTTGGGATGGTCGATTGATGTTGTTGTGGAGAGAAGATTTTGATGGTTGGTTGGAGGGGTTTATATAATTGGTGGTGGGAATTGGGGGAGAGAGTTTGTCTTGAACCTTCTTGTGTATTCTCATAAATCCTTTTTTTCTTTGGGTAATGCACTAATGCTAATTTGGCCTTTGAACTTGTTGACACTTTTCTTCCTAAGTCCAAAATGAGTTCAAGAAATTTCTAGGCAATTCTAACTTCTAAATGAATTTGCCTTTGAACTTGTTGACACTTTTCTTCCTAAGTCCAAAATGAGTTCAAGAAATTTCTAGGCAATTCTAACTTCTAAATGAATTTCGTTAAAGGTTGACAAAATTTGTTGGTAAGGTAGCTTTCCTATTATTCTAATAAAATTCATGTTTTACCTTGGATGCACATTCATTTCCAAACTCCGTTATATTTGTATAAAACAAACGACTACTAAAAGATTATGAAGTTCTATATTAGTTCTCGTTTAATAAAAAAGTTCGAGTAATCATTAGGATATACATATGGTGGCTTTTACGGTATACCGAGTGAAATTCAGGGAACTTTAAGTATGAAAACACTATCTAAATCTTGATTTGCTTAGTAGAATTTTTGGGTCTGGTACTATATTCTAATGCTTAATGAGTGAATCATAGGCCCCAATTATCTAAATCGTAAGCTATAAACCTTAAGATGGTGCATTTATTTTTCGTCTTTATTTGGACGAATCATAACTGTCAATTATTGTTTCTAATTAAATTGATTTTCGGGTATAAAATTTAGAGAACTAAGACCTAGATTTTAATCTTTAGGCAATTCAAGGTCTAGATAACAACATTTTCTACTTAAGGTATGTGGTACCCTGAATTTTACCCTAGGACCGTATAACTCACTATATATATATATATATATATATATATATATATATATATATATATATATATATATATGGAAGACATTTTAGAAACCAAATTCAATTTTGGAACCTTTTATATAAGAATTTTGTAATGTGGGGTTCCTAGTTTCTACTATCTTCTTGTAGTTCTAGACAATGATGGCCACTAGAACTTTTCCTTGGCCCTACATACCATACATGTCACATTCATCTATAATGGATTACATTCCCCTTCAACTAAAATTGGATAAGGGATGATCAAACTACACCTTATTAGTTGTAACTTGTAACTAGATAAACCAACTCTTCCATAGACAATTCGGAATGGGCTTCTCCCCCCTCAGCCCGTTGGAGAATGGGAAGCTTTTTGGCGTGGGTAGAGCTTGGGCTTGACGATCTCTGGGCTTGCAATCGAGCCATCCAATTGTGCACCATGCGTAAATAACCTGATTACCTATCATTTTCATATTAGGAATAGATTGCGAGATTTAATATGAAGATTTCTTATTACGACATTATTTTAACAATACAAGGGTGGAATTGATGTAATGTTTAAGGAAGGGTAGAATTGATGTAATTCAAAGTAAATAGCATGTTTGAGAAAAATGTAAAGTAAAGAAGCATATTATACATATAACCTTTTTTAATTTATACAAAACTTTTGAAAGTACTTGTTGAATGCATTCTTTGCATCACAATATTTATACATGAACAAATTCGAGAATTTCGTTTTTATCTTCTCATAATAGTAAAAACTTCGTCTTCGTCGTACAAAAGTATAATAATATAAATCATTATCATATTTTTCTTTTCCACAACATCCATCTTACAGATTTCTGGAAATTGTGCCACTAGTTTGTATATTTTGCATCTTCATGACGGTTCTTCAAACAAAGAATTAGTGGTTGGGGTCACATTTATGGGCCCATTTAGAGCCATTACGTATTTGATAACAACTGCAACAGTGCTTGGTGCAATTTTAACACTTTGAAAGTCACATTCCAACCAGACACAATAAATGATGGGAATATATATAGTTTCCTGCAAATGTAAACAGATTACAGAACCCCTTTTGGTCCAAAATTGGAGCGAGTTCAATTCACCATCCAAGGTAAGAATAGAATGAGATTAGGATGTGCCTCTAAACCATCAATAAGCCCATATTTGGCAAGTTTTGTGACAGAGGGAAATTAATTTCATTAGCATTGGTGACCTTGAGAACTAGAAGGGCATCTAGTTCTACATAGCAACTCATCTATTGTTGATACCCGACTAGCATACTCGCGTTTCATATGTTTTGAAATGATACATCATTTTCTTTGGTACCTTTTTAAAGTTACTTAGATGATGTTTATTCATCTATAGTGAATGTTCTTCTTACTAATCATAACCAGTTTTGTAATCTTAAGACGATCCATATGCAATGTTTGTCTTTGTCATATTCGATTATATGAATACACCATTTTTATGTCAACTTCAAACATTTGGGGAAACTATATGATAGTTTCCCCAAATTAATCAACGTTTTATGGATACCAAACTATTTTACAGAGTCAAAAATGATAAAGCATAAATTTAAACTATATCAATTTCAGTGTTTTAAGTACCAACCAAGTACCAACTCCTTTCTTTTTAGTAACCAGCTGGCTAATGCAAGATTCTAATGAGTTCATCAACCCACTTGACACTTGTGTCAAACTCGAAACAAATATAATTAATGGAGAGGGAAAAGAAGGAAAAGAGAGGCAGAGGCTCTCTGTTCATTTTAGCTCTCTCATAATAATTTCTTTTCTCCCCATCCCTTTCAGTACCCTCACCCAAGTTTTCCCCTCAAAGACACTTTCTTCCTTACCACTAGTCATGGCTACCTTTCCTTTGCTCCATTCACGACACTACCCCTTTTCCAAGCTCTCCTTCACCAAGTTCATACTGAAGCAGAGAGAGATGGAGTTTTATTTGTCCAGAGATCAATCAAGCCAGAGAGGCTACCTCCTTTTTCTTCTTGCTTTCTTTTACATGTTTATGGTGGTGATGATGGTGATCACATGGTGCTGCTAGTGGTGGTTAACACTTGATGTTAACGTTAATACCATGTATTGACAGAAGATAGAGAGCACAACTGAGCATACCCAGGGAAATGGCCTGTGTTTGTGCAGCTTCTTGTGCTCTCTTTTCTTCTGCCGATACAACAATATATATGGTTACCCACTAAGCTCTCACCAAGTGTGCATCATCATCATCATCATTTCTCTGGTTTGATCTCCATTCCATGTAGAGTTGGTTTTAGTTTCCCATAAGATTGAATTCCACTTGCTATGTTCATCTTACTTTCTTACTGTTCTGTTTAACTACAAGACATATCGTTTGGCATGTACTAGTTATGAGTGTGTATTCTTG